CTTTCCTATATGCAAACAGTGAGAGAGAAGAAAGCAACATGAAAAAAAAATCCCGTTCACAATTGTGCCCCAGAAAATCAAGTACTTAGGAATCAGCTTAACTAAGGAAGTAAAGGACCTGTGCAAAGAAAACTACAAAACGCTACTTCAGGAAATAAAAGAGGACATGAGGAAATGGAAAGATATCCCCTGCTCATGGGTCGGGAGACTTAACATTGTCAAAATGGTAATACTACCGAAAGCATTGTATAAATTCAATGCAGTCCCTATAAGGATATCCATGACATTCTTCAAAGAAATGGAGCAAACACTCCTGAAATTTATATGGAACAATAAGCCCCCACGAATAGCTAAAGCAATTCTTGGGAAAAAGAAAATGGGAGGAATCAACCTCCCGAACTTCAAACTGTACTACAAAGCAGTCATAATTAAAACAGCATGGTACTGGAACAAAGGCAGAACTGCAGACCAATGGAACAGGGTTGAATACACTGACATCTCCCCTCAATCATATGATCATCTAATCTTTGATAAAGGTGCAAGTAATGTGAAGTGGCGTAAGGAAAGCCTCTTTAACAAATTGTGCTGGCATCACTGGACTGCTACATGCAAAAAAAATGGGCTCAGAACTCTGCCAAAAGTAAGATCAAAATGGATTAAAGACCTCAACATCAGACCAGAAACCATAAAGTACATTGAAGACAAAGTTGGCAAAACCCTCCATGACATTGAAGCTAATGGTATCTTCAAAGATGCCATGCCACTGGCCGAGCAAGTGAAAACAGAGATAGATAAATGGGACTATCTTAAACTAAGAAGCTTCTGCACCTCCAAAGAAACAGTGACCAAAATACAAAGACAGCCTACAGAATGGGAAAGGATATTCGCCGAATACACATCTGACAAGGGGTTGATATCCAGGGTATACAAAATACTGGTTAAACTCCACAAGAAGAAAACATCCAACCCCATCCAAAAATGGGGCAATGAAATGAACAGAAACTTTCTCAAAGAAGAAATCTGAATGGCAAAAAAGCACATGAGAAAATGCTCTACATCATTAAACATCAGGGAGATGCAGATCAAAACCACAATGATATACCATCTCACACCTCAGAGACTGGCCCACATTCAAAAGAACAAAAGCAACCGATGCTGGCATGGATGTGGCGAGAAAGGGACACTCCTTCACTGTTGGTGGGAATGTCGGCTGGTTCAGCCCTTCTGGAAAACAGTATGGACGATTCTCAAAAAATTAGAAATTGAGCTCCCATTTGACCCAGCAATACCACTCCTGGGAATATATCCCAGAGAGGCAAAAATGTATAGTCGAAGTGACCTCTGCACTTGTTTGTTCATTGCAGCACTCTTTACAATAGCCAGAAACTAGAAGAAACCTGAATGCCCAAGAACAGATGACTGGTTAAAGAAACTTTGGTACATCTACACAATGGAGTACTATGTAGCTGTTAGAAAAGATGAAGTCATGAAATTTACATACAAGTGGTACAACATGGAAAGTATCATGCTAAGCGAAATGAGTCAGAAAGAGAGGGATAGACATAGAAAGATTGCATTCATCTGGGGAATATAAAGTAACAAAATATGAAATTAATACCTAAGAATAGCTGAGATCAGCACCAGGAGGATTACTCCATAGCTTAGTGGCCAGTCGGGCATTCTAGAGGAAAGGGCAGCTCAGATAGAGAAGGGAACACCAAATACAAGGTGTTTGGAGGATCCTCCCAGGAGGGGAGATGCATGTCGAAAGTAGACTATGGACTGAACATGTTTGCCACTCAATGCCTCTTTTGCAGACCACAACACCCAAAAGGAGAGAGAGAACGCAGGGGATTGCCCTGCCACAGAGGCTGGGGGGATGGGGGTGGGGGGGATACTATCCATGGTGGTGGAAAATGGGCACTGGTGGAGGGATGGGTATCTGATCATTGTATAATCAAACCCAAGCACAAAAAATTGTAAATCTACAACTGTACCTCATGGTGTTTCACTAATAAAAAAAAATTTAAAAATTTAAAAAATATAAAATAAAAAAACATTATTCAAAAGTTGATTTATCCTGATACAGATAAAAAAAAGGAGAGGGATAGATACAGAATAATCTCTCTCATATGTGGGATATAAGAAAAATAATATGGGGGATAACAAATGATCAAAGGCTGCAGAACCTGAGAACTGGTTACAGAAATGAGCTTACCAGGATGGGTGGTGTAGTGTTGGGGGGTTGGGAAGGAACCCTCAGAAAAAGGTGGAGGATACTGTGTTGGAATATTGTGCGCATGAAAGCCTATCATTAAATCATAGTGCTTTTTTTTTTAAATCATAGTGCTTTAAATTTTTTAAAAAGAACAAACAAGCAGTGCAGCCAGTGTCAAGTATAGTTAGCTATCCCCTTCTGCTTTTCTAGTCCTATAGATTATTGATTGGCCTTCCTTGACATTACCCTTGTACCTTGAATGCACTGCTATTGTGTACTGATTATGGAGTTCTCACATGATTTGCACTGAAACAATTACCCTTTTAACTTGTCACTTTTGTAGAATTAAACCTTGAATTAAACATATACATACATGTATTTAATTTGAAATGTAATTTAATTTCCTCATCTGTTATGACAGTTGTAACTGCCTCTTAGAATTATAGAACACAAAAATAAGACTTAATATGAGTAACAATAGTAAGCTTTCAATGAATGGTAGGATATTATTAGCATCGTTTTATGGAAATAATTTATTTTTATAATACAGAAGATGGGCGGAAATTAAGTAAAAATATATTGAAAAAAAAAGCAGATGAGGGCCAGAGAGTTGGTATAGGGGTTAAGGCATTTGTCTTTCATGCAGCTGACACTGGTTCAGCACCCAGTACCACATATAGTTCTCCGAGTACCTCCAGGAGAAGCCCCAGAGAAGCCCCAGAGCATACTGGATGTGTCCTAAAAGCCCTCAGGCTACCCCCTAAACCCCCCCAAAAAAAGTTTTTTCAATGTCAGCATTTTTAATTTGAAGGCACCCAATGATTTTGAATAGTGGGGGACCAGAGAAATAGTTCAACAATCTAGAGTCTGAGCTTCACAATAAGGAGGCCCTTGTCCCCTCCCTGGTAATACTTAGTCCCCTGAACACTTCTAGGAGTGACCCTAAGCACCAAGCTGGGAGTAGCACTTGAGCACTACTGTTCTGTATGTGGTGCTCATACAGAGTTATGCTGTAGCTCTCCAAGTACCTCCAGGAGTAAGCCTAGGGTGTCACCAAAATATAACAATAATAATAATTTAAAAATAATTGAATCTAGTAAACATCAGTTTTAACTGTTTGGGCACTCAGAAAGACCTTAGAGTACAAGTCAGTAAAATTGAAAACATCTGAAATATAAATTCCCAAAATTGAACACCACAAAAATATCATGTATAGACCTTAAACAAGATTGTAGCAAGAGATGAAATGAGGAATACATAATGAAGTTTTTCCCCCAAGTTAAAATATTTTGTTGTCGGTTTTTGGTTTGTTTTGGTTCTGGCTTTTGGGCCACACCTGGTGGTGCTCAGGGGTTAACCCCCGGAGCTCAAGGGTCACTCCTGACAGTATTTCGGGGCCATTGCCATCCAATGGAAGTGAACAAGGCCTCCAACTCATTAGGCTATCTTTCTAGCCAATAAAATGTTTTTTACTTTTATTTATTTTTTTCAAAGCTTTTCATGATTGGATTTCAGTCATATAATATTCCAACACCCATCCCTCCACCAATGTACATGTCCCAGCACCAGTGTTCCCAGATTCCCTCCCATCACCTCCCACCCACTGCCTGCCTCTATGGCAGGCACTTTTCTTCTCTCTCTCTCTCTCTCTCTCTCTCTCTCTCTCTCTCTCTCTCTCTCTCTCTCTCTTTCTCTCTCTCTCTCTCACACACACACACACACTCTCTCTCCCCCCTCTCTTTCTCTCCCCATCTCTTTCCCTCTCCCCCTCTCCCTCTCTCTCTACCCCCTCTCTCTCCTCTCTTTTTCTCTCTCCCTCCTCTTTCTCCCTCTCTCCCTCTCTCTCTCCTCCTCTCTCCTCTTTTTCTCTCTCCCTCCTCCTCCCTCTACCCTTTTCCCTCTCTCTCTCCTCCCCCCCACTCACTCTCTCTCTCTCTCTCTCTCTCTCTCTCTCTCTCTCTCTCTCTTCTCTCTCTCACCCCCCACTCACGCCTTTTGGGCATTGTGGTGTGCAGTATTAATACTGAAAGGTTATCAAAAATGTCCCTTTACCTACTTTTAACCCTCCAATCTTGTCCAGTGTGATCATTCCTAGCTATTACTGTCATACTGGTCTCTTCTCTATCTTACCTACCCTCAGCCCCACCACACTTGTGGTTAATTCCAACCGTTGACCGGTCCTCCTAATCCCTGTAAAAAAAAATTTTTTTAACATAATATATCAAGAAAGAAGTAAAGACTATTGGAAGAATCTACAAAGACATCCTTCCTTTATCAATAATGAATGCCACTGATTTGTTCAAACAATGCCTTTCATTATTCACATGGGAAACTCCAACCCAGGAGTCAGGGAAATGACTGGCAGCAGCATCAAAACTTGACTCACCGGAACTCACAGTTTTATGATCAGTGACTCTTTGGAGGCATAGTTGCTACTGATAACTACTCTATACATTGAGATGATTGTTTTCTTGCTAGGGAACATGGAGACTCAGATTATTTCTAGATGGAAATGTAGCACCCCTTTCTTCTTCTCCTTTCCTACTCTCTTGCGGCGCTGAGCTGAGTGCACAATCATGATCAACCAGATCCTTCTGTGAGTACTGTCTTAAGCACCAGTAAAGCTTATGTCAGTTCCTTACTTCCAACCTCTCCCTACAACATGAGATCTCAGCAGATTCTGTAAATATCTTCTGAGAAAATTTTGAATCTTTCTAGACTTAAGTGAAATCCATCTTGCCCTATATTTGTAATAAGTCATCTAAATTTCATTGTTCTTTAGATGCAGACGTCTCTGACATGAAGAGCAGTGAGCCTTATGACTATAAGTTTGTGAAGTGGATGATTAAAAATAAGGTACTATTTATTTGTCTTTTGCAATACTATATTATGTTTTACATATTTAATATGGCTGGAGCAATAGCACAGCAGTAGGGCGTTTGCCTTGCGTGCAGCCAGCCCGGCCGAGCTGGGTTCGATTCCTCCGCCCCTCTTGGAGAGCCCGGCAAGCTACCAAGAGTATTTTGCCCGCACGACAAAACCTAGCAAGTTGCCCGTGACGTATTCAATATGCCAAACACAGTAACAACAAGTCTCAAAAATGGAGACGTTACTGGACCCACTCGAGCAAATCGATGAACAACAGGAGGACAGACAGACAGATATATAACATAGGAAATAAGCCTGCTGACACGCCTTGAACTATGTTTGCTGTAGTTTTATTATATTCTGGTGGTGGATACTTGATATTTTTCTTTTAGAAATTATGAATATCTATAAGTATCTATTGGTTTTTAATATTTATTGTCCTAAAATTAATGTGAATTGTGAGCCACTGTTTTTTTCAATCTCCTATTTAATTTTTTTAGAAACTTTCAGCCATCCCAGTTTCAGCATTCTGTAACTCAGAGAACAAATCACAGTTTGAGAAGTTTGTGCGATTTTGCTTTATTAAGGTAAGTTACCTGTTCTACTCCTTCCTTCTGATTTATAATCCTAATATATCTATTGGTGGTCATGGAGAGCTCCTATGCAGTTCTTTGTTTGTTTGTTTGTTTGTTTGTTTTTAATGAATCACCATGAGATACAGTTACAGACTTAACAAAACTTCATGATTATGCTTTAGTCATACAATGATCGAGTACCCATCCCTCCAACAGTGCCCATTCTGCACCACCAGTGTTCCAAGTATCCCTCCCGCCAAGCCCCCCATAGCTCCCCCCAGCCTCTATGGTAGGCATACTCCCTTACTCTCTCTCTCCTTTTGGGTGTTATGGTTTGTAGTAAAGGTACTAAGTGACCATCATGTTTGTTCTATAGTCTGCTTTCAGCACGCATCTCCTATCCTGAGCAAGCCCTCTATGCATCATTTACTTAGTGGTCCCTTCTCTACCCCAACTGCCTTTTATCCCAGCATGTGAGGCCAGCTTCCAAGCCATGGAGTGATCCTCCTAACCCTTATCTCTACTATCCTTGGGTGTCAGTCTCCCATTATGTCACTTTATATTCCACAAATAAATGCAGTCATCCTATGTCTGTCCCTCTCTCTCTAACTCAATTCATTTAGCATGATACTCTGTCAATCCACATATATGCAAATTTCATGATTACATCTTTTCTAATAGCTGCAGAGTATTTCATTGTGTAGATGTACCAAAGTTTCTTTAAGCAGTTATCTGTTCTCAGGCACTCTGATTTTTTCCAAATTCTGTCTATTGTAAATAGTGCTGCAATAAACATACAAGTGCTGATGTCATTTCTACTGTATTTTTTTTTTTGCATCCCTGGGATATTTTCCCAGAAGTGATAATCCTGGGTCAAATGGGAACTAATTTTTTAAGAAACGTCCATACTGTTTTCCAAAAAGGCTGAACCAGTTGGCATTCCCACCAGTGGTGAAGAAGAGCCCCCTTCTCCCCACATCCATGCCAATACTGATTGCTTTTATTCTTTTGGATGTGTGCCAGTCTCTGTGGTGTGAGATGACATCTTACCTCATTGTTGTTTTGATCTGCATCTCCCTGATGATTAGTGATGAAGAATATTTCTTCACGTGCCTTTTGGCCCGTTCGGATTTGTTTGTTTTTTTTTTTTTTTTGGATTTCTGGATTTTTGAGTCATACCCAGCGAAGCTCAGTGGTTACTCTTGGCTCTGGCTCTGGCTCTGCACTCAGGAATCACTCCTGTGGTGCTCGGGGGACCGTATGGGATACTGGGAATTGAATCTGAGTCAATCATGTGCAGGGCAAATGCCCTCCCCGCTGCACTATCACTCTGGCCCTTGGATTTCTTCTTTAGAAAAGAAGAAATTCTCTTTCTTCATTTGCCTTTCTTCATTTCATTGACCTATTTTCTGATGGGATTGGATATTTTCTTCTTGTAGAGTTCAACCAGTGCGTTGTATATCCTTGATATTAACCCCTTATCAGAAGGGTATTGGATGAATATCCTTTCCCATTCTGTAGACTGTCTTTGTGTTCTGGTCACTTTTTCTCTTGAGGTGCAGAAAATTCTTAGTTTAAGATAGTCCCATTTGTTTATCTCTGTTTCCACTTGCTTGGTCAGTGGCATTTTGACTATGCAGATTTTTTAATTGAACAAAACTCAACAAAGTTCAAAAGGAATTTAAAACAGATATTACAAGTATGTTTAAGAAATTAAAGGCAGGACTAGAGGTATTGTGTAGCAGATAGGGTGCTTTCCTTGCTCTTGGCCAGGCATCCAACAGTGTGAATTGTACCTGGTACCATATATGGTCTCCTGAGCCCCACTAGGAATGGTTATTGAGCTCAGAGCCAGGTATAAGCCCTGAGAACCACTAAGTGTGCACCCAAATATTAGTTAGTTAATTAAAGGCAGACCCAGGCAATAACACAGTGATCAAGGCATGTACAGAGACCTGAGTTCAAACCCTTGTACTACATGGTCCCTGAGCATTGCCAGGAATAGCCCTGATGGTCCCTAAGTACCACCAGCATTCCCTCATAACCCCAGTCTAGCCTTGTTCACCAAGTATTATAGGAAGTGGTCCCCCAGGACCCCTGAGCATTGCTTGAGAGTGCCCCCATCCCCCAAAAAAGGGAAAGAGAAAGGAAATTATGGTGCCTTTGTATGCACCAGTCATAATCCTAGCAGCTCTGCTATTCATGCCTGAAATCTCTGCTGTGATCTCCCCACCGCTTTCTGCACCTCAGCCAGGTGTCTGTATGTAAGTAAAGGGGCTCAGGCCCCCGTGAGCAACACTAAAATATGTGCAAGCACCATGTCCATAAATTGTGATCCCTGGTGAGAACTGTGAAAGCACCACACAAGTCCCAGAGAGCACTACAGCCAAACGGTGCACAAGCACCACAACTATAGAATGTGGCCCCCAGCAAGCACTGCAACTCAATATAAGACATTAGAAATGTGTGTGTGTGGGTATGTGTGCGTACATACATACTCTGGTCATTAGGGGCCAGAATGACAGAACTGTAGGTAGAGCATTCATCTTGCCGGTGGCCAACCTGGGTTTGATCCCTGGCATCCCATGTAGTCACATGAGCACTGCCAGGAATGATTCCTGAGTGCAGAGCCAGAACTGAGCATCACTGGGTATAGCTCAAAACCAAAACAAAACAAAAAACAGTAGTCATCACAGCAACAAATGGGGCCAGAGAAATAGTCCAGCAGGTAGGGCACTTGTCTTGCAGGGAGCTAAGCTGAGTTCAATTTCCAGCATCCCATATGGTCCCCCAAACCTCCTCAAGAGTGATCCCTGAACACAGAACCAGGAATAAGCCCTGAGCACATCCAGGTGTGGCCCAGAAACCAAAACAAATAAAGGAAGGGATGAGGTGGGGCGGGGTGGGGGGGGTGAGGAAGAAATCAGTAGGAATTCAAGAATTTAAAAGTATGATGTCTGATGTGGAAAATGTATGGGGTTAACCATATAGAATACTGAGAGTGTTGAGGGAAATGGGCACACCTGAATACAGATGCAAGAAATTATCAAATCTGATTTTATAAAAGAGGGAAAAATCATGTTTGAACTATCAAGGGTCTCAGGATAATATCAAATAACACATGTAACCAAAATACCAAAAAAAGAGAGGACTAAACTTGGGTTTCTAAATTTTTGAGATATGATATTTGAGATGTGGCTCAGTGAGCCAACTCTGAATAAGTTAAAGAATACCACACCTGGACACAGAATCAAGTTGCAGAAAACCAAGGGTAATGATAGGATCTTAAAAGCAGTCAGAGGAAAAAAACTACGCTTCACCTGCACAAGAACAGAGATATCCATGTTAATTCGCATTTTTTAACTGAAACACCGTGAGATATAGTTACAAGCTTTCATGATTGAGTTACAATCACACAATGATCAAACACCCATCCCTCCACCAGTGCACATTCCCCACCACCAATCTCCCCAGTATTTCCCCCTTTCCCACCCGCCCACTGCCTCCATGGCAGGCAATATTCCCCGTACTTTCTCTACTTTGGGGCATTATGCTTTGTAATACAGATACTGAAAGATTATGATGTTTGGTCCTTTATCTACTTTCACCACACATCTCTTATCACAAATGATACCATAACCATCATTTTCTTAGTGATCCCTTCTCTGTTCCAGCTGCCACGCCCCCTCCCCACCCCTCATGAGGCAGGCTTCCAACTATGGAGCAATCTTCATCGCCCTTGTATCTACTGTCCTTGGCTCTTAGTCTCATACTATGTTATTATTTTATACTCCACAAATGAGTGCAGTCCTTCTATATCTGTCCCTCTTTTCTGACTCATTTCACTTAGCATGATACTCTCTATGTCTATCCACTAATAAGCAAAATTCATTACTTCATCTCTCCTAACAGCTGCATATTAACAAACATTGTATCACAAAGAGTAGGACCAGAGTATAATAAAATGACATATAGTAAGTATTGAAATAAAAAAGATACTGTCCCAATATTCTATAGTAGCACTGTCCTCTCGTTGTTTATCTATTTGCTTGAGCGGGCACCAGTAACATCTCCATTGTGAGACTTGTTGTTATTGTTTTTGGCACATCAAATATGCCACGGTAGCTTGCCAGGCTCTGCCATGCAGGAGGGATGCTCTCGGTAGCTTGCCAGGCTCTCCAAGAGGGATGGAGGAATCGAACCTGGGTCGACCACATGCAAGGCAAATGCCCTACCTACTGTGCTCTCGCTCCAGCCCATGATAATGTAATCTATAGCTAGGATAAATGATAGCTGAGAGAATTTATCATTATCAAACCTACATTTTTATGTATGAAAGAATCATTTCCAAATAATGATGTGGTTATTAAAATCATCTTCCTGCAATCAAGGCACTTTGTATACCAACTTACTCACCTGTCAACCTGGTCTGAGTAATATATACTTGATTTTTTTTTTTTTACTTTTAGAGACAGCTAATAAACAATGGAAGACTTATGCAGAGTAGAATATAAAATTTTAACATCCCAATAATGTTAACATTTAGTAAACTAACATACAGAACAAAGGGTAAGGCCATTGATGTTCTCATCTTACAGTGGATCTAGACATAAAGGTATAAACATCTTATTTAAAGTTATAAACATGGACTAGAGAGATAGTACAGCAGGTAGGATGTGTGCCTTGCATGCAGCTGACTCAAGTTCGATCCCCAGCATCCCATATGGTCCCCACCATCCCCAGGAGTGATTCCTGAGGAATAGAGTCAACAGTAACCCTGAACATTGCTGGGTGTGGCCACTAAACAAAAGTTATAAACAAAACTAAGAGAAGGAGCGGAAAGTAGCACAGGAGCTGGAGAGATGGCTCAAGGGCTAGAGCACACGCTTTACATGCGAAATCCCAGCTTCAGTCCCCAATACTACGTGGCCCTGAGCACTTTTCCAGTGTGCCACTCCCTTCTCACCCCCCTCCAAGAAAAATAGAAAGAAGAAGAAAAATGTACCATAGACTCCATTCTTCCCTATTCTGTCCCTGTAAGTTATTGAAAACCAGGCATGTGGCTCACCTGGCAGAGTGTAGCCTTCATGTGCAAGGTCCAGGTTTAACCCCCTGCATGCCAGTGGCTTCAGAGCACTGCTGGATGAGGTCCTAATGACCCCTGCACAGGGGCAGGGCACCAAAACTAAAGCAGAATTTTTTATCTATTTACATTCATTTTGTTTTTGGATTTGGGAACCACAGCAGGTTGTAGTCAGGGACTATTCCTGGCTCTGTGTTCAGGCCCCATCCCATCCCCCTCCTCCTACAGGGACAACCACTTCATTCCACCATGTGCCTAAGCCACCCAAATTCAATTTTAGTGTAGAACTGCAAAGCTCGAGATGGATCTGTCCCGAATGTGACTGGTCACGAGGGAGTAGTAATGTGGAAAAGAGGAACTAATTTTGAAAAGTGAACAGAGCCTCTGGCCATCCTATAGACTAACCTGGTAGAAGGGAGAGGAAAAGAAGTAGGGCAAAATCTGGAGGTTTGATTTTCACTATCTAGCCCTCAACTTTGTTTATCCATTTGCAGGTAGTGCCTATTCAGAGAACAGATGGAGTTTATTTGCAGTTGTAACTGAAGCCTTAATAAGTAGGAACAGAGTGGTGTTAATGGACTAGTTCCTCATTCAGAGCAAAGATTGGCAAATATTATCTGAAATATGGAAAATTCAATATTTAGATTTGGGAGTAACTAATAGAACTGAAGTCAGAAATTACCATACAAGATGGTCAGGATATAGGGTGGGGAGTATGGGATGAGCCGCCATGGTAGAGCACATTTCTACTTTGTGCCACATTTCAACTCCTGGCACTGTAAAATGAAACTAGTGAGGGATATCTTGATAATTGACATAAATAGGGGCTTGAGCGAGAGAGTACAGTGGAAAGGACGTTTGCTTTGAAGATAGCTGACCCAGTTTTCATTCCCAGTATTCTATATGGTCCCCTGAGCTCATCAGGAGTAATTCCTGAGCACAGAGCTAGGAGTAACTTTAAGTACCACCAGGAGTGGCTCCCCAAAAAACAATAATAATAATAATAATAATAATAATAATAATAATACATGGGAGGGGAAGGAAAGAGGAAGGATAGACAATACTTTTTCATTTTAAGATATTCTGAATCTTTGACTTGCTTCTGTAAGTATGTTGTTTTGCTTGCTTTGTAGCATCTGCCTTTGAATTTTTTTATTTTTCTTGAGATCTGATATTCATTTGAAACTTCATTTATTTCTGTTGTTTCACATTTGCTTCACCTTTAATTTATTTGTAAATCTAATGGTCATCAATGGCATTTATTTGCAGAAAGACAGTACACTGGACGCTGCTGAAGAAATCATCAAGGCCTGGAGTAAAAAGTCCTAATCCATCCACACCCGCTGTGTAGCATTACTGTTCAGTGCTGCCACCTGCTGGATACTTAGAGACAAACATTTCCATACAAATGAAATTGCAACTCTTCCATTATTTTTCCAGTGAAGTTCACACCACCATTGATAGTACTCAGGGAATTTGATTTCTTTGTGTGACTTGCTAGATAGCATAATGAATAAGAACAGGGAGATGCTGATTACTGCTTGATTTGTTTCCTAATCCTAACAAGGGTATAAAAATAGCACTTTATATTAATTTTGTGGGGTGTTTGTCAGAATGACATGGGCTGACAATATGGGCTGGCAATCAATAAACACTCAACTGATGTTAACCAGCTTCCCTTCTCTACCATTGTGAAAAACCTTTTAAGCCAGTTTACATTCTCTCCACGTCCCTATCTTTGCTAAGCCCACCTGTATTCTCCTTCCATCATGTAGGTATGACTCTGAACTTTGCTCACAGTTCTGTCTGTCTTTCTTCCAAGTACCTTATCATCTGGGATGGCTTCAGGTTCCGTGTGGATTACCTCGTCCCTGGGAACCTTGACCTCCTCACGTCTGCTGAGATTCACCTGCACTTAACTCTCCGTTTCAATCATCCACTCCCTTGGGCACACATTGAACCTTTTAAGCCTTGTCCATCATTGAAATAATAAATTAGTCATCTCAAATTTTAGTTGTCTACTCTTAATAATATTATATATCTTTTTTTTCTTTTCTGCTCCTCTCAAAATATCATTCTTTAAACTTACTGTAATTCTATTTAGTCATATCTACCATTTTTTTAAAAAATATATTGACCCATGACCCTATTCCATTAGAAAATGGATTTTGCTCTCCATACTAGACCTAAAGTATAGTAATTTTAACGTCTGGCATTCTGCAGGCAACTAGTCTGAGAATCCTTCACTGTCACTGTCCTCCCATTGTTCGTCGATTTGCTCGAGCAGGCCCAGTAACATTGTGAGACTTGTTACTGTGTTTGGCATATCAAATATGTCACGGATAGCTTGCCAGGCTTTGCCATGCGGGCAAGATACTCTTGGTAGCTTGCCGGGCTCTCCGAGAGGGGCAGAGGAATCGAACTCAGGCCAGCCTCGCCAGCTGTGTGCAAGGCAAATGCCCTACCGCTGTGCTATCACTCCAGCCCTAAGAATCCTTAATTCATTTCTATTAGTCTCCACATAGCTTCATTCTCTTCCTTATCTAAGTTAGATTTCATTTTCCATCGCTTACTTCAACCAAGATTCTTTTGCTGCCTGAAATTTCTGGGTTTTTTTGTTTCCGGGGGGTGTATTAGCTTTTTGGGTCACACCCAGCCGATGCTCAGGGGTTACTCCTGGCTCTGTACTCAGAAATCACTCCTGGTAGTGCTTGGAGGACCATATGGGATGCCGGGGATTGAACTCAGGTCAGCTGCGTGCAGGGCAAATACCCTCCCTACTGTCCTATCGCTCAGGCTCTGCTGCCTGAAATTTCTTGTTCATTGTCCTTTTTCACCAAAGGAGGGAAAGGAGAACAAAATGTGTGTATTGGGCAGGTTCTAACAACCATGAATGTACATCACTGACCTTAATTAGACTTAATTCTTCTCTGATCCTCTAACAAATTTTCTCTCCCATTTATCATATAACAACTCCTAACATTTTCACACTTTCCATTTAAAAGAGCCAGCCTTCTCAGACCTCAGTCACAGCAAATGACATCAACTTCTATTTCTCTGAAAAAAACAAAACCTACTAAACAGCTCTCCCATCTGGGATTCTACGAGTAAACCTATGACTTAGCTGCATCAGCATCCATCCTTAAGTTCTTCCTGGGAGTGGTGGCAGAGTGGAGGAGGGCTGATGGCTAAACAGAACCACCCTGCAGGTGGCCAGTGACCTCATGATCTAGCTATTGCACTGCACTGCAGTGCCCAGGTAAAATCCCTTGTCTGTTCACTGCTGTGGGGGTTTCTCTGTGCTAATCCCATAAACTGCTCTGGGTCTCATTTCTTTTCACATTCTTAAGGGACTTCCTGAGCTCATCCTCTTATCTCTTCAGCCTCTCCGGCTCCCTTCCTTAGCAGGATGACAAATTCCAATTCCTGTCATCTTAGAAAATATTTCCTCGGATCTTATATCTCTCTGCTTCTGGGCAAAAAAAATTTTTTTTTAAAGTTTCTCTCTTCCAGACTCCCTTTTTCCTTTTCTTTTTCAAAAAAATATTCATTAAAATCCTGCTATGTGCCATGCCTAGGCATTGCTCTAAGCTGTTCAGATATATCAGTAAGCATAAAATTCCCTGTATCCCAGGGCTTTCCTTCTGGGGAGAGAAATTATATAAAATGATATAATGAATATAATGAAACATGTATTAGACTTATACATGGTAATTGTGTAAAAAAAAGAAGTAGAAGGGCCAGAGCGATAGCATAGTAGATAGGGTGCTTTGTTGCACGTGCTGACCTGGGTTGAATTCCTGGCACTGCATATGGTCCCCTAAGTCCACCAGGAGTGATCCCTGAGTTCAGAACCAGGAGTAATCCCTGAGCACCACTGCATATAACCAAAAAGGAAAAAAAAAGAGGGGGGGAGTAGGATAAAGAGGAATGAAAAATTTTAAAGAACCATGGAGAGTGATTAAAGGGTATTAAGACGCTTGAGATATTTGCTTACTCACTTCCTTCCTTCTCCACTCTGTCCCTTCTTTCAAGTTATGTAGTTGTGTGGATTTAACCTTGGATTTGCCTAAAATATTTAGCATGTCCAATTCCCTTCACTACACCAGTAGTTCATGCAACAAAAAGCACAAGAGTAAAAGCCTCCACAGTAAGAATGGCAGAGCAGAAATTGGTAAGCCGGAGGCAATTTGGAGTCACTATACTTACCCTAGACTTTGTAATTCATGAGGAGAAAAAAATCCTTATTTAAACTACTGTAATAGAGTTTCCTATCATTACAGATGAGTGAATCTTTACATAATATAGAGGACATGGTACAAAGGTCATTTTTTTCTAGTTGAAGCAACCTGATGTATAAATGTTGACTCAGAAGGAGTGTGTTTGTGTGTGTGTGTGTGTGTGTGTGTGTGTGTGTGTGAGAGAGAGAGAGAGAGAGAGAGAGAGAGAGAGAGACATTAGGAGGCTACTCGAGCTGAGGTAAATGATGGTAAGGGTCTGATTGGATAAGAGAAGGGCGAATATTATCATAAATCATAGACTCATGACTCTTTCTCATGATCCTGTGGTTATAATTATGTAACAAATTACCAAATATTTTAAATCAAAACCATTCCCAAGTTTAAAGAAAATGTAGTCTCTGGTCTCAGTTGAATAATTCCAAGATGAAAACAAAACAAAAACTTCAGCCACATTCCTGAATCATGTGTCTCATTTTATTACTATTCTGAGAATATATCTAATTACTCAATCGTGCCAATTAAAGGGGAAGTTCACCTGCTGATAAACAGCTATCTTTGGATGTATCAGAATAAACTGTATAAATAATTGGATTTTCTAATCAAATATTAACTTCACCATATCATGTAACTGCTACTTACTTTTACTTTTAGATTCACCGATTTCCTTACATATAAAACCTCACAAAGAGCAACATATCTGGTTAAAATACGAAATAATTTTGTCCCTTTGTTTCTGAGAATAGTTAATCTGTCTTAATATCCTGGAGTTTTTTTCTTTATAAACTCTTCTTATCACTCTCATTATCCACTGCAAGTATAGACATATTTTGTGGCTGGAGAAATAATACAGCTGGTAGAGCAGTTACCTTGCATAGTGCCCTACCCGGGTTGAACCCCAACATTCCATATTGTCCCCCTGGCACCACCAGAAGCAGTTCCTGAGTGCTGAGCCAAGAGTAACCCCTGAGCATTGCCAGGTATGGCCAAAAAAAAAGGTATACACATATTTTAGCTGAAACCTAGAGCTATACTTCTAACACCATTGCTCCATTTGCTGTATAAATTCCTGAGATGAATCATTATAAGCACTGCTCTTATAATTATTCTTGAAGCGATCTTCTGACCAATATATGCATGAAAAGTAAAATTCATGACAGTTGTCCCATTTTACAAGATATTTTTCCCTCTGGACTATATTCCTCCTGATGGAACAGAGTTGCTCATTCCATCATGATATTTCCCCATTTCAGAGGGATGTTGGAGAACAGGGGGGAATTCCTTTCATGACTCGCCACTTCACTCCCAAAAGAACCAACATCCTCACTTAGGCTCTCTGAGCTCCTGTGTGATTTGACTCTGTTCTCTAACCTCATCAACTACTCTTCTTCCTTCTTTGGGTTTTTTTTTTGTTTTTTTTTTGTTTGTTTTTTGCTTTTTGGGTCACACGTGGCTATGCATAGGGGTTACTCCTGGCTCTGTACTCAGGAATTACTCCTGGCGATGCTCAGGGGACCATATGGGATGCTGGGAATTGAACCCGGGTCGGCCGTGTGCAAGGCAAACGCCCTACCCGCTGTGCTATCATTCCAGCCCTCCCCTTCCTTCTTTGGACCTCTTTTTTTTTTTCTTTTTGAGTCACACCCGGTGATGCTCAGGAGTTAATTCTGGCTCTGTACTCAGGAATCACTCCTGGCGGTGCTCAGGGAACCCTATGGGATGCTGGGAATCGAACCTGGGTTGGCCGCATGCAAGACAAACACCCTACCCGCTGTGCTATTGCTCCAGCCCCTCCCCTTCCTTCTTTGTACTCCTTCCCTTCTTCCTCCTATGGACTCATTTTTTGTCCATCCTTTAACACCACGCATGGTAAACTGAGACTCAACTCCAACTTAGGAAAAAGTGTTCTTCAACACAGAGGAAGAATCTGTAACCAAAGCATGGGAACAGCCTGAACAGGAATGGAGGTGGCGGGTAGCCTAGGATCTGCTCTGGTGGTGAGCTGTGACAAAACTTCTACCATTTTTTTCTTTCATGGACACACACAAAAGAAATGTATGTGCATGTGTGTGTGTGTGTGTGTGTGTGTGTGTGTGTGTGTTCATTAGGTACAGAGAAGCTAGAATCAGAGAGGTAAGGTAGATGTGACTAATAATGATAAAAAGAACGATTATTTTTATATTCTGCTTTTTAAAAATTCTCAAGATGCTACCCTTCCAAGATTTAAAACCTACTATTGATGGTCTATTTAATTAAGAGTTTATGTAATACGTTCATTTAATCAGTATAAAATCATGAGTAATGTAAAAAGTACAGATAATATTAAAATACACATTAGGAAAAAAAAATACCAAGCATACTCCAGATACTCATTTGTACCTGAGTTTCCTTTTCCCTGGAACATTTTCCTTTCTGTGTCCACTGGCTACTTCAGGT